GGGGATGGGATGAATGATTTCTCTATTTTCCATGATCATGAAATTGAAGGAATTTTTTAAATCCTTTTTTGAGTAGACGAATGAAATAATAAGTGTTTAATCATCTTTTTGAAAGTAACTTTAATCACTGAAAATGAATACTATGAGTAGGAGACTGATTTAATGAAACAACTTCCTTCTGAATCGGTTTTCATACATGATATCCAAAATTAATTTACCCTATATCGGATATATGTGTCTTAATATATAATTTTATCTGTTAAAGAAACAAAAAGAAAAAATTAATTTCTTTCCGATGTGAGCATACAGTGAAGGTTAACAGTGAATGATTTAGTTGATTTTAATTTTGCTCTTAGAATTGGTTGTAAATTATTTTGTTAGACGACTCATTGGTTAATTTGGTGGTTAATTTTCAGGTGAATAAGGCATCAATCATCGTCCATGCATCTAAGTACATAGAGGAATTAAAGGAAAGGATAGACAAGTTAAATGAAGATGTCTCAACCTCACAACCTTCTCATATTGATGATGAAAATTCCTTACCATTGGTATGTATATCTTAGCCGTTGCTTTAATTTTCATTTCTTTTTGTGAAATTTAGTTTCTTTAGCATATAAATCATCAACGGGGACTTTTGAAAAACTATATTCATGAATGAAGCAGAAAATATATTACTTACTTACTTTCCTGAATTCTTGGAAGCTATACAGAAGACATGCGAGATGAAACTGCACATATATAATTGCATAAAAACTAGATGTAGATACATATAATATTTTAATTTAATAAGAGAATATAGAAATTTTTAGGCAATGTGATATTTTGGCTCTCGAATATTGAAATAAGATTCTCAATTGGTGATGTTCCTTCAATTCTTTAATGCATATTGCATATTCATACAATGTGTCCAAGCTCGAACAAATTTTCAAATAGTAATTTTTAAAATTTATAAATCAATAAATGAAGTTTCTCTCTCCCCCCCCCCTCCCCCCTCCCCCCTTCAAATTCCACTAAAAATTTCATATGCAGGGTCGTAAACTGTACCAGCCTCTCCAAACATGCACAGTATTGTCAGATACTTCGTTTTAGAAAAAAATTTATCCGCATTCTATATTTACATCAAATCATACTAATTTACTAATTCACATGATAAACTACGTAAGGGACAAGTATATTATCATCCTCTCGATGAAGCAATGTTACATTTTTCTTTCTTAGTTTCCCCATTTACCACAAAGAGATGAATAGTACAGAGATTAGTTGGATTCTATCTCTAACATTTTTAAGGTATTACCACGTTATACAAGAGTGATACTAATAATTAAATCATGATTTAAAATAGTCTTAGGAGGGTGGAGTTTGTGCTTAATTCTCTGATCCTCCATGTTTGGGTAACTTGTTGTCTATGAAACCCCACATCACCATGGGAGATGATAGCCCGGGCGAATAGCTTAATTAAAAAAAATAAAAAGTTACCCAAAAAAATGTTTTTGTACCGTTCTAACTTATATCTAAAAGAGCACGCAAAATTTTGACTTTGACCCTCTCCTATATAATTCTAAGCTGTAATTCCCTTTTACTTTTCACCCATCTTCTCTCCGTTCAAATTCCTCTTTCTAATTCCTTCGGCATTGATGATTTTACTCGAAATGTAAAATTACTACTCCCTCCATGTCAATTTATGTGAACGTGTTTGACTGGGCAGGAAATCCAAGAAAAAATATAGACTTTTTGAATTTGTGGTCCTAAACAATTCAAAAAGGGTCCAGAGTATTATTGTGGTTATAAAAGCTTCTCATTAAGGATAAAATTGAAAGTTTAAGCTAATTTGTTTCCAAATTTAGAAAGGAGTCATTCTTTTTGGAACGGACCAAAAAGAAGATAAATTCACATAAACTGGAACGGAGGAAGTATTTATTTTCTAAGAAAAGTAATTTTTAATTTTACGTTTTACTACCAGTGTAATACATGTTTCTTTAAGAAAAATGTTACTATAACATAGGTAATTAACGAAGACGTGGACGCCACCTGATCAATAGATTTGCAAAGTAAAGAGTTCCTAACTACAGTTTTTTTAGTGGAGTATCAGAAAGCATTCAAGTGTGACTCTTTCATCTAAAAGTTTAAACTACTGGAGCGCACAAACTTTTATTTGTTTAATTATATCTCTTCGACAAGTACACTATAATGAGTATTTGACTAATGGTCAAGTTTACACTACAGGTTACAGTAGAAACCCTAGAAAAGGGATTTCTAATAAATGTGTTGTCAGAAAAGAATTGCCCTGGATTGTTAGTCTCCATTTTGGAAGCATTTGAAGAGCTTGCCCTTGAATTATCGGATGCTAGGGTTTCTTGTTCCGATAGTTTTCGCCTTGAAGCTTTTAGTCAAGTAAGATTTCTCTCTCTTTTACTTCTCTTCTTCCTTTCTATTTCTTGTTTGTGGCAAACATAATTTCTTTTATATATTACTGGTATAGTATTCAAGAAATATTTTTGTCCATGTGATGCGGCATGTTTAAAACTTCACGTGTGACTTGTACAAATCCACCTCGTTATTTGAACCACACACCTCGGATTTTTAATTTTTGTGTGTTACCAATTGATGAGCGGCCAAATTTTAATTGTTTCTTTCTCTTCCGGTTTTCAAGAAGTTTTTGATGCTCCTTAACACCGTCGTTTATGCACCAAAACATAGAATACCTGATATAATTAAGGGCGGATTTACAACGAAGCGGTGTTACGTAACACCCTTTCGTCAAAAAATTTCACAAATTATATATATTAAAATAATATCTAAACAGTAAAAACGAATATAAAATTAAGTGGAGGACATTATTTCTTCAACATGTTCCTTTGGTCCAGCGGGGGAAGATGCTACATATTATTAGATAGGTGACAGGATCAAGTCCCCACTGTGTAGCTTGTCTTCTTTTTTTGCTTTTAGCAAAATACTCAATATTTCAATCTTGCTAAGTACTGTCATCTTAACTCGCTAGTGACCAAGGTTTAGCTTTACTTATTACTTTCTTTTTTTGAAATAATTATCCTTTTTTTGTTTTTCTTTTTGAACGTTAATGACAATTACATTATTGCATTTAACTGACTTTTTATTTATACGATCTTCTTACAATGATTTATTTATGTTTGACACTGCTTGCAAAAAGAAAAACAAAAAAGGGATAATTATTTCAAAAAAAGAAAGTAATAAGTAAAGCTAAACCTTGGTCACTAGCGAGTTAAGATGACAGTACTTAGCAAGATTGAAATATTGAGTATTTTGCTAAAAGAAAAAAAGAAGACAAGCTACACATTGCGTACGCCACTGCCTGATATTTCCTTTTAAATAAATTACAGAAACCATGAAGTTCCTTTGTGTTATCCAAAATTAGTTTAACCTTTTGTGCTTATATCCCATTAAATTTTGTAAAATTTTCTTTAATAAGCAAAGCAATTCAAAAAACCTGAAACCACATGAGATAAAAATCTGATACAAGTGATTAGTAAACTTTTGAAAGTTGCATATTTGACATACGTAGGATTTCAAGGAAAAATAAGATAATTTGTAGCTCTAACTGATATTATTTCAGGGAAAAAGTTTTCAAGTAAATAATTTTTGATTTCGTCAGTCGCATTGAGAGGGTAGTGAATGAAACTTTTAGAACATATGAGGTAGGTTTTGTTCATATTTTTTGCTCACTTTGGATTTCAGCATTCAAATCCATCATTGAGAGGGTACTAATTGCATATTTTATATGCGAAGAGTTTAAGTTCCATGAACGGAAGGCGTAAATATTATTTACACAACAAAAAGTCACTTATATATATAGTAGTTATTTGTAAATTTTCCTGATAAACATTAATGGATAACATGATAATATTGCCAACAGAATTGTTATTACAAGTCGTATTCTGTTAGTGTGAAAAAAATCTTCACGGCGGTAATATTTGTGGCTTAAATCCATTATACATATGGCTAACAAAGTTGTTGTTATTGCAGGCCGAAGGACAGATTGATAGAGTAGATGCCCAAATGGTAAAACAATCAGTCTTGGAAGCTATAAGGAACTGGAGCCAAAGCAATGATTAATTAATCAGTTTTTGTTATAGATCGTCTCCTCCCTCTGTTCTTTAAACATATCCCTAGCTACCAACCAACCCATAAAAAAAGGAAAAAGCAAAGAGGCAAATAAACAAAAAGGAAAACTTTTTTTTGTAGCTCCTGCATGTTATAGTTAAGACAGGGGCAGAGCCAGAATTTGAAAACATGCTGAATGGAGGAATTTAGGCAAAATCACGTTAGGGTTTCAAGCCATGTGAAGAGAACTCTTTCTTCTCTGTATGTAACGAAAAATCAGAGAGCCAAAATGTCTGATGGATCTTTCTAGATCCTTTTGTACATATTTATACAATGAGCTCAAGATACCAACTAACCTGTTAACTAAGAATACTAAGTAGTGTTACAAAAATAACCAGAATAAAATAAATATAGCTATTACACAACTAACCACTATTGTGACTACTTCTTATGTTTGGGGCTAGAGGCTAAATACTCCATCATGCCAACACCCCCCCTCAAGTTGGAGGGAAAGACCACCTACAACTTGGAGAGTAAATGATGATGAAGAGTACCCGACAGAGGCTTAGTGAGCAGATCAGCTAGTTGGTTGGAGGTAGGGATATGAGACAACTGTATCAAACCATCACCCAGCTTTGTCCTTATGAAATGGCAGTCAACTTCAATGTGCTTCGTTCATTCATGGAAGACAAGATTCTTAGCTATATGAAGGGCTGCTTGATTGTCACAAAAAACAAAAAAGGGAAGCATAACGAGAACAACAAAATCATGTAACAACATAGAAAACCAAGTTAACTCAGCAACCACCTTGCTTAAAGCCCTGTATTCAGCTTCAGCTGAAGAAAGAGAAACAATGGGCTATTTCTTGGACTTCCAACTAACCAGACTGTCCCCTAGAAAAATGCAAAAACCAGTGATAGACCTCCTGGTGTCAGGGCAAGCTGCCCAATCACTATCTGAGAAAGTAGTAATAGAAAAATCATTGACATCTGAGTAAAACAAACCCAGATCCATAGTACCTTTGAGATATCTCAATACATGTAAAGCAGCAGTCATGTGAGGGACCCTTGGAGACTTCAGAAACTGACTTAACTGCTGGACAGCAAAACAGATATCAGGTCTGGTATGAGTGAGGAAAAGCAATTTCCCAACCAGACTTCTAAAGGCCTTAGGAGCAGGCAATAAATCACCAGAATCAGCATACAACTTGGTGTTCAAATCCAAGGGACAGACCATAGGAGTGACTGCAGAACAGGCAAACTGCTGAAGAAGATCTGAAGTAAATTTCTTTTGGTTGAGAACAACTCCACCAGAAACAGAACATACTTCAATACCCAGGAAGTAATGTAAAGACCCCAAATCTTTGATTTTGAATTGAGAGTCCAAGAACTGCTTCAAAGATTTAATCTGAACACTGTCATCCCCAGTTATAATGATGTCATCCACATACACCACCAGAAGAACCATATGCCCAGGACTGCCTTTGATAAACAAAGAGTAGTCATTAAGGGAATGAGAATAACCTCTAGAATATAAGGCCTGGGAAAGCTTGGCATACCATTGCCTAGAAGCCTGTCTAAGACCATAAAGGAATTTCTTCAGTTTACAAACAAGAGGAACAGAAGTGGAAAGAGAAGAAATGGACAGCCCCTGGGGTAATTTCATATAAACCTCCTCATCAAGATCCCCATGAAGAAAAACATTGTTAACATCAAGTTGAAAAAGAGGCCAATGTTTCTTAACAGCTACAGCTACCAAACATTTAACAATAGACATTTTAACTATAAGGGAAAAAGTTTCTGTGAAGTCAACCCCTTCAACTTGAGTGTCACCCCTTATGACAAGTCTAGCTTTGCATCTTTCAACACTACCATCAGCCTTATACTTGATTTTATACACAGATTTGCAACCTATTGGCTTCTTGCCAGCAGGAAGGGGGACAACATCCCAAGTCTGATTGGAATACAAGGCTTCAAACTCCTTCCTCATGGCATCCTGCCAAGCTGGCACTAAGGCAGCCTGAGAGTAACTAGTAGGTTCAGATTCTAAAGGTTGGGAAGAAGAATGGGCTGCAGAGAAAGAAGGCAAGGTACACACATAATCTTGGAGGTAAGATGGGGCATTATGTTGTCTGGAAGATTTTCTAATAGGAAGAGAAGGGGAAGAAGCAGGAGGAGAAGGAATATCAGGATTAAAGGGTACATGAGAAGTGTTATGAGCAAGAGGAGAAAGAACTTGAATGGAAGGTAGAGGGAGAATCAGGAGAAGCAACATAAGTGGGAGGAGGAGAAGAAGTGTAGGGAACATCAGTAGGAGGATGAATTGTGACATGAAAGGGTGGAGGCTCAAAAGAGGGAGGAGAAGTAGCAAAAGGAAAACAGTGTTCATGAAAAATAACATCCCTGGATACAAAGCATTTCTTGGTATGTAGATTGTAAAGTTTGTAACCCTTCTTGGCAAAAGGGTAGCCTCAAAAAACACAAGGGACAACCCTGGGCTGCAGCTTGTTCCTGCGAGGAATTGGCACAATGGAATAAGCTAACCAACCAAAGACCCTCAAGTGGGAATAGTCAGGAGGCTTCCCATATAGAACTTCATATGGATACCTATTCCGAAGGACTCTTGATGGAATTCTGTTGATCAAATAAGTAGCAGTTAGCAAGTAATCCCCCCAAAAACTAAGAGGAAGTTTGGACTGAAACAATAGAGCTCTACATATTTCTAGGAGAGTTCTATGTTTTCCTTCAACCACACCATTTTGTTGAGGTATGTGAGGACAAGATGTTTGGTGAATTACCCCAAGTTCAGCAAAATAGGAAGAATTAGCTTGACTAGATCCCAATTTCAAGGCATTATCACTTCTAATGGTTTGTACTGACACTTCAAATTGGGTGTGAACCATGGCTAAGAAGGCTTTGATTAAGGAGAAAGCATTACTCTTGGACCCTAATAAGTGAGTCCAAGTAGCTCTAGAAAAGTCATCAACAATTGTAATAAAATATTTAGATCCAGAAGATGTGGGTGTATGATAAGGTCCCCATGTATCAATGTGTATCAATTGAAAAGGTCTAGTGGTACTAATAGAACTGTCAGGAAAAGGAAGTCTAGTTTGTTTAGCCATAGGACAAATAGAACAAGAAAAGGATTGCCTAGTCGGCACGAGGCCCCAAACATGGGAACTAGCCCAAATCATAATGATAATAATTAAACCTCAATCAAAAATACAGTAAGAACATCAATCGGGATGGGCCAAGTCACAATCCCCAGTAGTAATGGACTCCACGCTCATCATACAACGTGTGTCTCACCTCATCATAGCACTACGTTGTGCAAATCCGGGGTTTCAAACCCTTAGGACACCATTTACAATCATTACTCACCTCAAACCAGCCAAGGCTCTAGCTCGCTATGCCCTTGTCTCTCAAATCGGCCTCCTCGCGCGTCGAATCTGACCAAAACCAGAGCGAATACGTCATAATATTCTAAGGGAACAAAACCCAAGCGAAAACAATCGAAAAATATCAAAAATCTCGAAATTAGCAAAACCCGAGCCCCGGGCCCACTTCTCGGAACTCAAAAATTTTCACATCAACGGGTTCCTTATCTCGCCACGAGTCCATACATATCAAAAACTCTCAAACCCGACCTCAAATGGCCCTTCAAATCCCAATTTAAAATTTCAAAATCCCAAGCCCTAGTTCTTCCCTTTTTAGCTAAATTTCCATTAATTTCTAGGTTGATTCCACAATATAATCACGTTTTTGGTTCATAAAGCTTACCTCCAATCAATCCTTTTCGAATCCCTCTTCAATTTCTCCCAAGGAGCTCTCAAAATGTTCAACAATGGTGGAAAAATGACTTAAGCTCGCGGAATAAAATGTTTAAAAACCCTTCTGCCCAGCTACTAATTCCTTCTATGCGATCGCGGCCCTAGGCTCGCGATTGCGAAGAGCAATATTTCAAGACCTCCAACTTGACCTATGCGAACGTGACCTATTTCATGCGAACGCGATGAATGATTTCCCAGAACTATGCGAACGCGGCCCTCCTGATGCGAACGCGGAGAACAACTTAGCTGGACCCTCCATTTCCACTACGCGAACGCGGACCACTCACTGCGAACGCGTAGCTTCACCATTTAACTCTCTGCGATCACGAACTCCCAAACGCGAAGGAGATGAACAAATCTCAGGCCTCCCAAATTCCTTCTATGCGAACGCGGGGGACCTCCCGCGATCGCGAAGGTCAAAATTCCTCTACAATAGCTGCTGCATTTTTGTAATTTCCTAAGTCCCAAAAACCTTCCGTTAGCCATCCGAAATCCCCCCGAGGCCCCCGGAACCTCAACCAAAAGTACCAATCCATCCTAAAACATCATTCAAACTTGTTCCAATCATCAAAACACCTCAAAAAACACCAAAACCATCAAATTACATCGAATTCAAGCCTAAGTTCTTCTAAAACTTCCGAAACACACATTTGATCAAAAACCCAACCAAATCACCTCCGAATGACCTGAAATTTTATACACACATCCCAAATCACATAACGAAGCTACAGCAACTCTAGGAATTCCATTCCGACCCTCGGATCAAAATCTCACCTAATAACCGGAAATCGCCAAAATACTAACTTCGCCAATTCAAGCCTAATTCTACACCGGATCTCCAAAACCACTTCCGATCACACTCCTAAGTCACAAATCATCCCCCGAAGCTAACGGAATCATCAGAAATCACATCCGAGCCCTCTAAGGCATAAGTCAACATCCGGTTGACTTTTCCAAACTAAGCCTTCCTTACAGAGATTAAGTGTCTCATTTCTTACCAAATTCACTCCGAACTCAACCCAATCAACTCAACCACATAAAACACGGATAATGAAGCATAAAGAAGTAGAAATGGGGAGAACGGAGCGGTAACTCATGGGTCGTCACATCCTCCCCAACTTAAACAAACGCTCGTCGTCGAGCGAGTCAAGAAACATACCTGAAGCCTCAAATAGGTAAGGGTATCTGCTCCGCATCTCCCGCTCGATCTCCCAGCTAGCCTCCTCTACGGGCTGACCTCTCCACTGCACTTTCACTGAAGCTATATCCTTTGATCTCAACTTTCGAACCTGACGACCCAAAATAGCTACTGGCTCTACATCAAAGGTCAAATCATCATCCAACTGATCGTGCTGAAGTCCAAAACATGAGACGGGTCCCCAATATACTTCCAGAGCATAGAAACATGAAATACCGGATGCACACTCGACAAGCTGGGCGGCAAAGCAAGCATATAAGCCACCTCCCCAATCCTCCGAAGCACCTCAAAAGGCCCAATGAACCGCGGACTCAACTTCCCTTTCTTCCCAAATCTCATAACA